ACGTGTTCCAGACAGGCATCGCGGACGATCCTGATCGTGAGTCAGTGCTGGGACGGAGATCATACATCGACGATATCATGATCGCTGCGGAATCGTGGGATCAAATGTGCCGAAGAGTGGAAGATCTGTTGGAAGCTTGTGATAAGTGGAATTTGTCGATCAGTGTAGCCAAGAGCTTTTGGGGCATGTATAAGGTAGGATATCTGGGACACCGAGTGTCGATCGGAGGTTTGGAGGCGAGCCCGAAAGACCTGAAATCGTTGACCGAGCTGCCGTTCCCCGGATCACTGCGATCTATGTAGTCGTTCCTGGACAGTCTGAATTACTACAGCCGATTCATCGAAGATTACGCTATCTATGCCTCGGTACTCTACGAATTACGGGAGGTGGAGACTGGAGAAACGATCGAATCTGAGGGAGATCTTGGACCGGAACGACCCGATCCCTCGATATCACGACCCACCGGAACGGAAGTTGACGGGACCAGTGGACGAGAGGTGGATCAGGGCACATAGGGCCTTCATCGCCCTGAAACCCAAGATCCCGGCTACCCCAGTCCTCCTCCATTTCGACGAGGCGAGAACGCCGGTAGTTATCGTATATGCTAGTGATTGGGCGATATCCGTTTCGTTGACGCAAGAACACGTATCATCCGGTGGCGTTCGCCAGTCGCACCTTGAAGACGAACGAGTTGAATTACAATGTGACTGAGAAGGAGGTGTTGGCACTGCTGAGGATCTTGGATCTCTATTACAATTTGCGAGTAGGACGCGAGATCCGGGTCCTGACGAGGCATTCCACGTTGGCCTGGCTGTTCAAGTTGACGGGATTACAGGGTCGCCTGGGTCAATGTTCTGTCCTCGTGGCCCCATGGACACTCGAGATCACCAAGTGCACGAAGGGTGAGGACGAGATACTGGGGACGATCGCTGCTAGCATCACGCCGAGGGCGAAGATCGACGACGCTCTGACCGAACTCGCTCCCCGGAAGGAACCTAAACGCCGGATCCAAGCGCCGATACCCACTGTAGATCGAGACGAGGAACTATGGGTGATCAGCTTTGACGGATCCGCTCGAGTCAAGCGTGGTGGAGGCGCGTTCAGCGCGATTTTGTGGAGTCTACCCGGATGGGAGGTGGTCAAGGCGGCTATCTCGAGAGCCTCACCGTGAACGAAGCCGAATATAACGGCCTGATCCTGGGCCTCGACATGCTAGAGAGCTAGGGTCGCAGACGTCTGGTGGTCTGCGGGGATTCCAACCTAGCGATCCGACAAGTACGGGGTGAGATCGATTGCAAAGCACCTGGACTGACGCTATTGAAGCGGAAGGCCCTCGATCGCTTGAGAAAATGGAGTGATCATGAGTTGGTACATGTCAAGA